TTCAAATACAATATTTTTGAAAAATGCCCATCCCTAGACCGCAGAGAACAAATCCTATTCACATACCGGACAACAGCTGAGGACTTACTTGCATAAGTTTTCGAGAGAGCTCATTGGTGAGGAACTCCTCTTCCTTCTCATAGTTGACTGCTAGAGTTTCTTTCTCTTTCTGCAGTGCCTGAATCTTCTTGAACAGGGTGTTACTGATGAACTCTTCTTCTTGTTCTGCTCTCGCTTGCTAAAAAAATATTTTAGAAAGCACAAAAATGTTAGTCTAAAGCTGATGAAAATACATCAGTAACAGGAAATAGTTGTTTCATTAACCTTATTTTTGTTGCCTCTGAGTAACAAACACATTTCTTCACTTTGCATGCATATATAATTGTAATACATGGTTGATAATGTAGGGCTGACTGAATAAACAAACAAAACGCTTTTTGTTTAAGGAATAGTTCACCCAGAAAATAATTTGCTAAAAATATTCTCACCCTTAGGCCATTCACGATTTGGAGATTTGGAGAAATTTAGCATTTTAATTTCAAACTGTTGCTTCCAGCTAAAATATGAATCCTCTATCCATAATATTTTTTCTCCATTAATAAAAAAGAAATATGCACAGATCAAGCACCGCTCACAAGCAAAAACAGTCTAAAACAGTTCTAAACAAATATGTAGGTGATTTTGATGTGAGAGGACAACAGATGGACTTTTTCACTGGATGAACCGTTATTATGGATTAAGGACTTAAATTATTTTGGCCAATGGTTTAAAAGTTAAAACACCTTAATGGTGGATTTACTTCTAACAACCAGGCAGCTTTTCACTTCACAAGACATTAACTGATGGACTGGAGTTGTGTGGATTATTGTGGTGTTTTTATCAGCTGTTTGGACTCTCATTCTGACGGCACCCATTCACTGCAGAGGATACACTGGTGAGCAAGTAATGTAATGCTACATTTCTAAAAATCTGTTCTGATGAAGAAACAAACTCATCTACATCTTGGATGAGTATAGTGAGTATATTTTCAGTAAATTCTAATTTTTGGGTGAGCTAGTCCTAACTATTCCTATTCCTAACATGTTGTGGTGATCATTTCGATTTTTTCTGTAAGAAAGATGCTTTATTGTCATTGTACAAGGTACAACGAAATTTACAGTGGCAACTCTCAGAGAGCAAGAAACATGCAAACATACATACACACATAAAAAAGAAATTAGCATATTACTATAATTAAACAAATGTAAATGTATTAAATGAAACAATATGGATGGATGAATAGAGTACTGTATGCTTGGGATGTTTCTTGCTCTCTGAGAGTTGTCACTCTAAATTTCGTTGTACCTTGTGCATGCCATTGTGCAGACAAGGATACACATTTTTGCTCAGTAACTTTTACCAGAAAAGCATGTTATGAAGAATTGCTTAACACATCATACTGGAACTGGGTGAATCATAAAGAAACACTTCTTGTAGATATTTCACAACCAATACAGAATCAGTTTGACTTATTACAAACATATAAGAAAGTGGCCTCTCTGACTAATGAATGCAGAACAAAAGCCCTACAAGCATGAAGTTTGTTTCTAAATGCAGCTGCAACAATTTAAAGAAATGTTGGAGGCAGCAAAACTGGGTCAAGGAAAACATCATGAAGGAGGATAAATCAAAAGCATTTCAGGACAGTGGTTTAGTTATAATTTATACATACAAGCCAAGTTTATCTGGCTTGTAGAGACCAATTTGCAATGCACTCTAAAACCCGTGTCCATCACATATAAGGAACTGAAAGTCTAGATGTTATTTCTACATATAGGTGTTATTAAGAAGCCATCTGCAGACCCTGAGAGAATAAGAAGTGCATAATGATGAAGATCTCTGCAGATAACATAGGGATGAAATAAACCTTATCAAGCCAGAGACAAGCGGCTTTCTCTATTTTGATTGTACACAAACACAGGCTGACAACACACAAGAACAGCTGTCAGATGATCATCAAATATTAACTAGCAACCAAAACAAACTGATGACAGATTGTACTGTACTGTGCTTTACAGTATTGTAGCACCAGTATATCATCATCATTCCATGTGCACATGAATCAATCCATCATCCATATGAGATGATTTGCATTAACTTACTTGATGAACTACATGCTAAATTTGTTTAACCCTACAAAGCCTACAGTATAATATTCGACACTTTGCTGAAAAACTACATGCCTTCTGCCCTCAATTACATTTGTCTTTTTGCTGCAAAGTTTAATACATTGCAATACATATATTTTTTTATAAACATACGAATAAATGTTATATTGTTAGAAATATTTCATAATACATGAGCCATATAAGGCTGACATAATACAAAACATAAAGCACATATGAAACCTTTTTTTCATTTATTTTAATATTTTGTCTAAATGTTTAATAAACTGATACATTTCATTTTCAAATTTAATTTTTAACTAACTAACTAACCAAAGCTAGCCACAATATAGTGTATCGTGTTGATATATTATAGGAGTTTATAACTATCGTGCTCCCACTGGCACATGCTACTGTACTGTCACTTAAAAAATAATACCAAGTTTCCATGAATCGTGTACTTTATACTTTTTCTGTGAACTATTTATATGCATACTATACTAAACTAAGTATGTGAGTTATACTAATGAGGCTGGAATTAATTACTGTCCCAATTTAACTTATTATTGTGCTGCTAGCTCATGCTAAGATTAATATTTCACTGACAGTTTCTTCTGAACACAACCAAAACGTCCCCAGAGTCACTAAAAGTGGACTAAAAGGTGCTTGTTTAGTAAATTAATTTTTTTTTTTAATTAACAAGACAACGGAAAATCTGAGACGATAAAAGCTAATCATTAGCACATTAGCTTCAGTGAACCGTAAATGTAACCGTAACAGCGTTTACGAGTTTATAGGTTTAATAACACATGAAATGACTGAATTCCTTATTATTAGTGTTAGCTTTCATGTGCATTCAGGTAAATAAGTATTAATTGTAAAAACATTTGTTAATGACTCACTATGGTGACACTGGCTTTGCGCAAGTCTCTATTCTCCTCCTGCAGAGCTTTACACTTCAGTTTAAACGTCTCGAGCTCGATCTTCAGCACTTTATTCTCTTGCTGTAAAGATGCCAGGCGGTTCGTCAACTCCTCTAGACGGAACGAAGAGATGAGGATGGAGGAGGACGAGGATGAGGAGCACTGAGGGGTGGCTCCGTCCGTGTCGCTCTCACTCGCACTGTCCGCCATCATTGAGCATCAGCGTGAGTCAATGAGGGAAGGGAATGAGATACTGCTGTACGATGCGAGTCGCTACAGCGACCTCTAGTGATTCGATTCATTTGAGCGAATCGGTTTGTTCAAACGGTTCGCCCTGGAAATGGGCGGGGCTCAATAATAATTCTGCTGTTTAAAGTCCTAACTGAAAGTTTCGAATTCAAAATATCACTATAAAGGTGATGATACACGGAGCAACTTTTTTTTTTTGCAACGATGCTTGGGCTCTTTCCCATTGAGAATGAGCAACACATTTCTAACTATATACTGGTCGTGGGCCCTCACCCGGTTGCCCGTTGACGGCAACACTGCCCAGCAACATTGTTCAAAATGTTGCCCCGTGTATCATCAAAATGTGTAAATTATTGCTTAGGCGTTTGATGAACCAGCACGCAGACAGCGGCATCATGTGGTAGCTGGTAATTTTCTCAGCGCTGACATGGTTGGACCAATCACAATGGTCTGTGGTTACTGGATTAGCCAGTTTTTAAAAATATATTTATAAAGATTACTGTGGCACATGTCTGTTTGTATGTAATCATTCATTCAAATGTAATACAATTTGTAACTTATCTACCTGTAATCAGCATTTTACGGAGTCACTAGTTAAGCCTGCCAAAGAAAGCTGGACACAGGGCCTGTTTTTGGTATGTTTGACAGATAGAAAAAGTTATGTGAACTCAGCTCATGAGTGTGAACGAGTTTACATTTACATTTATTCATTTAGCAGACGCTTTTATCCAAAGCGGCTTACAAATGAGGACAACAGAAGCAATCAAACCAACAAAAGAGCAAGAATACAGAGTAGGCTACTAGTGTTAGAGGGTCAAGTTGATATATATATATATATATATATATATATAATAAATAAAAGAAAACAAGTAGATAGAATATAAACAGAATAGAGCGTGTTAGTGTTAGAGTCACTTTTTTCTATAATAAATAAAAAGAAAATAAGAAAACTCTATTCTATTTCTATTCAGCCTACTTGTTTCCTTTTTATTATGGAAAAACCCTCTAACACTTATTCTATTTCTATCTAGAATAGAAATAGAATAAACAGTGTTAGTGTTAGAGGGGTTTTCTATAATAAAAAGGAAACAAGTAGGCTGAATAGAAATAGAATAGAGAGTGCTAGTGTTTAGAGTTGAGCAACCGAATGCAGCTGTGTTCACCTTACATGCTCAGCTAGGTAATATGGGTTAGTTCATCCAAAAATTGTCATTCACACTCATGTCGTTCCAAACCCATAAGACTTGTTTATCTTTGGAAGACAAGTTCAAATATTTTTTTATATTCTCTCATCATTTTTGTGCTTACATTTAAAGTCAATGCAACCAAAATGTTTGCTTCAAAAAGTTAATAAGGAGACTGTAAAAGTATTCCATCCAAGTGAATACAGCGGTTTGTTTGAAGAGACACGATTGTTTTGTATTTGATGAATTTTTATATCATGAATTTATATGATGAATTTAATTTAGGCTTTAAGATATGAGCTCACAAATATGGAAAAAGGAGGCTCAAGTGTGCCAGTTTGAAGTATGACACATTCATTTTCAGTCGCGCTACCTTCAAGGACTGCCTTTCTCTATATACTACAGAGGTCCATTAATAATTTGTGAATTATCTAAAGAAAAAAAATTACATTTTTCACAAAGGAAGACTATTTTTAAGAACATTCATAAGTGACATTTTATGGCAACCAAGAACATTTTAATCACTCTTCCTACTATATTTTTGGCTACCTACTATAAAGGAAAAAGGTAAATAATAATAATAATAATAATAATAATAATAATAAAATAATATTTAAAGTATATTTGTACAGTACATTTCTAAATACACATCATAATAGGGCTACATTCATAGAATGAATAAAACAACTGTGACTGGATGGGTTGATTTTTATTACTCCATTACACTGTGAGGAAATGGTGCTTAATTCTAATGAAAATAGATTTGAATTCTTATGTTTCTTTTGAATATGTCCTGGACTTGACTTTTTATCACGAGATTCCCGCATAAACGTTCCGATTAATGTTGAACAAGAAAGAAAACACAGTGAGGATTTGAACACAATTTATTATAAGCTTAAATAATTAGTTTGATCATCCAGTGTATGCTTGTTTTTTTTCCATACGTTTGTTACCAGATCTATCATCCATGAATGCTTGGGTGATTTCTCAATGTACCAAAACCAAAGTAAAATTGCCCCCAAAACCACAGCAGCCTTGAAAAGTAGTAATACACTGCTAGAATGACTACAAATGACAGGCTGACAGAAAGACTTCTACATCTTAGATCCAATACACATGAGAACAGTTAAAAATGCATCACGTCAATCAACATGACGCATACCGGTGAGCATTCGGATTTCAGCTGTATCTGTAACTGCATAGGGAACCCGGCGGCTGTGATGTAATGGGACACAGTGTATTTTAGTGAAGCTGAACAATGGTGTTGTGATACCGTCATCTTTCTAAAAAAAAGCGTGAGAATTAGCAAGACTGTGAGTGAGTGTATACATATAGAACATCACTTCCCCATCTCTTGTGTGTTATGCTGTTTAGAAAAATCTAAATAAAGTGAATCACATGCATGAAAATATTAGTACTCTGAATAAGTCTTAAAACAGAACTACAGCGGCTCCAATGCATGTAACCACTGAAAACCGCAGTAGGTTTGAAAGAAACATCCGTTGTTAAAATCAAGCTGGCTTTTTTTCATATACAAACATTTTTCTTGATAATAATTATACAAGTGCATGTGAAGTTACACCGAAGTGTTCCCTTAAAATTGGAATCAGAATTGGTAGTTCATTCCTACACACTTGCCAGTGCATTAACAACATTCTGAGCCACTTTCGAATTTATACAGTGTAATTTATGTACAAAATAAGCTCCAACAGCATTATACACCCCGACATTATGTGTCCGAGAGGAAAAAAACGTAAGGCGAGTGTAAAAGGTGATTCGAACGAGTCCCTCCATTTCTGTCAATCTGCAGTATGTTACGTGGCCTCTTTGGTCACGGAAGTGCTTAGGCGCTGCCGTGGAGCATCTCGAATTAGACGCCCCAGTCGACTGAAACGTCCTCTCAATCATTAGCCGTTCCGTGTTATTGACAGAAACCAGTTGTTTTTTTCATGCTCATGCTAAATCAAAAGTCGTCTGGCTGAAAACCATTTGTTGTATGAAAGCTGCAGACACATGATCCTCATCCCCTGACCTCCTGCACGTTTCCAGTGATCCTCCTCATAGGAAAATGGTTCTGAAACACTTTCAGATCTGAAACATACAGGAATATATCAACTTATTTTATTCATGTAAGAACACAGCATAGCTTTAAAATTGATAAATAGTGGAGTCTAAAAATCTGAGAGCGCACTGAAAATCTGGGATACAAAATCTAATTTAAAACTGGAAATATGCTGAAAGTTTTAGGCTGTGTAAAGCAAAGAATATTATGACATTAAATACAGCCAATATATTTATGATTCTGTGTTTTTTCTAGGATTTCGACTTTAGATGTCCAGTCATTGTGCAGGTTCACAATGCAAGACCCAAATGACCCTTCAAAACATGTTGTCCTGGTCTGCACACAATAGCATGAGTAAAAGAACAATTGCATGGACTAATTTGCTGAGCCTGCATGTCATCAGTGGGCTGCATTTCAACTGTACTGGAAAAAGCGCTGTTGCAAAGCACATTTCTCTGGTGACTACTGTGTTGATGAAAAGCTACTGGCAGGATTCCGCACTGCTCTGCTTTTTACCCCTTGACTTCCACTGATCCTAGTTTTATGCCTGGACTTACCAAAAAGAGCACAACTGTTACGGTTGACCCATTTTTTCCCTTTGTCTTCCTTCCTTCTTTATGCCCTTCTCTCCTTCTCCAGCCTGAAACAACAAAAGCTTGAAGTTAGAGATGACTCTAAAAGAGCCGTCATACTACACAGCGTCTATAGGGATATTATTCCCAATGCCCATCCATGGTAACACACGACAAATGCTATAAGAGAAAAAAAATTAATTAGTGAGAGACCAATGTTCCCTCTATTTATTTATTTTTTTCAAAACCTATTTTTATAGACATTTCAGACACATAAGCAGAAACACCACCTGTGCACTCAGTGTCATTGAAGAAATTCAAAGTTTTCTCAAAATTAATTTATTGGGAGTTTTTTTTTTCATGTGTTACCTCATGAAAACGAATTAACAGTAAAGCAATGTAGATAACTTAGGTAACATTAGGCTATCTATCTAGCGTAGTAAGTTATGCATTACTCTTCTTTTTTTGTTTGTATATTTGTGAGGTAATTCAAGATTAAGTTTTGCTAAGATAACTTGTATAATCATGAGAAAAGTAAGTTATGCTCATGGGAAAACAAAACATTCTAAAGTCATTTTTCAGTATCATTTGTTGTAGGATGCAGCCTAAATTAAATCAGCATAGCATCAGTTCCATACTGAAAATCAATGGGCATGCGGATGGACTCCAGTTTAGCTTATTCAAGCTTATTTCCCCAAACATGGAACATGTTTTTTTGTTCCGTGTGGGAGCAACATTAAAGTATGTGGCCACACAGCTAGAGCGAACACATATCAGTCCACAGATGTTCACTCAGTTTCCCATTAATAAAGCCACTTCAAACAAAAACCAGGAAACTTGGGTTAAATTTCGAATACAGCAAGCTGTTCTGAAATGTTCTGCACACTACAGGCCCGCACTAGCACTAGCATCAGCACCGCACACGAATCCAACCTCAGTGTGCTCTCTGAGGGGCCCGGGGCCCCCCTCTTCCTCCTGCTCGGCCCTATTGGCCTGCCGGGAACGCTTCCTACGCTTTCTCCTGCCTATGTCCTCCACACCAGCTGTGCGACGCACCACTTTCCGGATGACCTAAGAGAAGGGGGCAAAGTCATGTCTCATGGTACTGGATTAGACCCACACGGGGGCAGAAGGGAAGAGAAAAGACGTTGATGCTTATGGGGTGGGCATGGACATTACTTTTCTGGTCACTATGTTTCCATCTTCATCTGTGTACTGCTCCTCTGTCACAGTCTCAACAGGGATGTTTCTGGCCTGATCACCCTACACAGGTGGGATGCATGATGAAACATTACAGATCTTTTACTTTGTTTTGCTGATGACAATGGCTGGATGCATTTAGTCATTCAAACAAACATACAAATTGGTCGTTCCAACACTATAGGCAAAAAAGTCAACAGCACAAGCTAACTGTCTTATACATCTTCCAAATGACATGCTAAAAACATAACTCTTTAAATGAATTCAGTAATGATTGACTTTTGATTTATAATAATATACAGTGGTAGTGATGGGCCAGGTTTTTTTTTTTTGTTAATAGTCAATGTTTGTGAAAATTTGGTTAAATCAAAACAAAATCTGTAAAATTAAGACGCACAAAATGAGGTTTCATTGTGTAGTGAAACTTAATGCTAACATGAAGTATTAGTAGTGATGCTAACCTTATTAATTAATCAAAGATAGGGGAAGGAGAACAAACACAGGAGAATAAAATTAAAAGACGAAAAATAGATTACGCTAGAAAAATACACTTCAGAAATCACAGCAACTTCTTCATGAAAAGTGGCAGTGTGCTAATCACTTCATTCTCTCTTAGCACACAGACTAAAAGCACACGCTAAGCCTGTAGCACACAAACTGGCCCAAATCTACAAGAGTACCAACTCATAGTACCTTCAGAATCACTCTCCGCCGATACACTCTGGTGGTGACAGTTTCTTCCTCATCAGAGCTGGATTCATTATCTCTACGAGCTTCCTGCTAGAGTCAGGTCAGCACATTACTGCAGTGCATGAGCCATCAACCTCATATGAAGTGCTTCAAGCCGTCAACTAATATTCTTCAAGTCACGAATCTTCACTGTACTCAAGCACTGATGGTGACCCAGAGTTGATAATGGTTATTATTTCTTTCAGTGGAGAATGTAATCATGTTTACATTCGCAGTTATAATCAATCTAATGCTTTTTTCTTTTTGTAGACAAAAAAACTTAGATAGCTTCTGTCGAGGTATACATGATGCATTTGAAGCATAATCAAGTACTTCAAGGATTAAATACAATACATGTCACGTTCTTTTGTTAAAATTCGATTGGATTATTGTTTATCTTTGTTGTAGCTTGAGACTTGAGAGACTAGTGAAGACATGAATACATTTGCAGTAAATTACTATAGGGCAAAAATGTCAGTGAATGGAACTGTCACAAAGGAAGAGCCCAAAAGACTTTCTGACTCCCTGGGCAGTGAACTTAGTTCTGAACAAGGGAGAAGATCGAGACACCCTGAGCCATGTGAGTACATGCATGGTTAAAAACTTGGTTTATCTTTGTAAGAAAATCTAAAGAGCATTGATGTTTTGCTTTTTTAAGGTCTCTCGAAGAAAATGTTACCTGGACTTTAGGCTTGGAAATGTCCTCCCCCCTGTGGTTTGGTCCTCTGTCCTCTACAGCCTCGCTGCTCACTTCTTGTCCAGAGTCTTTCCTAGCTTTGCCCTTTGGTTTGCTGGAAGACTCACTGGCGTCTGGTGACAAACGAGCTTGGGCTTGGAGCTTTTGATATTCCCCATTTTGCCTCTCAGTTTGCACTCCTGGTGTTGAGGACATTAGTTCTTGGCTGTGGAGGCATCGAAGTTCGAAATACATTACTTGATTGATACCAAACCTGCTGAGCTTGCAGAATAAGAATACAGTATGTTGGTAGAGGTCACTGTTCTTACCCGGACTCTCTTTGCCCTTGTGTTTCAGTATCTAGTCCGTGGCCAGAAGTTGCCGTCTTCCCATTTGCACCGGATGTCTCACTCTGCAGACCTGAAATTGAAGACATGTCTTTTTCTGCCTGCTGCACTTCACAGAGGATCGCTTGCAGCCTCTCCTCAGTCATCTCCTCATCCTCTGAGCCTTCCTCCAACTTAATGTTCTCCAAGAGAGACTTTATTTTCTCTTGGGTCATCTCTTCATCTTCTTCGCCAAACCCAGACTTGCCACTCTCTCCAGGAGCCTCGCTGGCTGAGACACAAACGGGAAGCTTCGGTTGGACTTCCTTCTGCTCTTTTACTGGACTTTTTGGGAAGACATCTGATTCTTTTGAGGTTCCCTCACTGTCACGTTGTTCCGAGGGCGCTGCTATTTCTTTGCTGACACCAAAGTCATCTTCAGCTGACCAATCCTCTTGGCTAACAGACTCTCGGCCTTCAATAGAGGTGTCCTCTGCCATGACGGTAGGCGGCTTGGTATCTGCAGACACTGGGCCACTAGTGATTGGCAAGGACAGTTCACTGGGTCTAACAGGGGCACCAAAGGGGAAATTTAGCCTACTGTCCTCGCCAAAGAAATCATCCTGGCGCAGAGGGGTAGGGGGTTCATAGGTCAGCTCTGAGGGACTCTTGAGCTCCAGCTCAATGTTGTGGTAACCTGAGTGATACAACACAGTGAGATGGAGGCGAACACCACTTGTGCGCAATGCCACAGCAACAGATGTAATGACAGAGGCCTTTGAAAATGTCATGGAGGATCATGTTGATGTTAGGGTGGCATTCTGAATTTAATAAGCCCTAACATTATGACTTTAAAGGAATTTTCTGGGTTATTTGCAGAAGTTAGAATTGTCTCACTTTAAAAATTAGACAACTTTACAATTCAACTAGATAAAGAATTTGTCAAGACAAACTTTGAAGCTGGCTTGAGAAAGCCAGACCACAATTCAATTAACAAACATTTTCACTAAATTTGAAGTGCTTTTGCAAAAATACAAGCTGAGGAAACTGAGGAATAGACATTTTCTGTGGTAGTCAAAAGGACACCACGGATGATTGATAGCATAAATTAACCCAGAATACTCCATTACGAATACTGTATACCATTAAGGTATGCAGCATATAGTATAATTAGTATGGTTATAGATATCTGTGTGTAGTTCACCATGTAATTTTCAAAGGCAGGTAATTACAACACTAAATATAAAGTTCAGGAACAGTGGGGTCCTGACGTAAATGGAGGAAGATGGGTGATGATGATGAGGAAAATGAAACAGACTGAGACTGTTTGGTCAACACTTTAGGGATAAGAGATACAAATGATGTAGATGAAGTAGGGGCAGTAGAAACTGTCATGGACACCAGGTTACAGAAAAATGAAGACAAGATATTGATGATACTGTGTTAGTAACATGAGACTTATCAGGATGATGTTGCTATATGAAGATAAGAATGCAGTATTAATGACAGAGCGAGTTTTCATAGCATGAGTGAAGAGCTGTAGCAAGAGCTAGCATTGATTTATCCACCACAGAGAGAGCAACTAAGCTAAACAGTGCTGCCCCACTGTGCTTTGAAATGAGGCAAAAGTGTTGCTATGAAAGAAGTTGGTAGGCAGTGGAGAAGCAGCTGGTCTGGATTTGCAGCAGAAGCACTCTATCAGGAAGGTTCAGAGGATTCTGGGATACTGGAGGATCAGGCAGCCTGACAGCAAGCAGACATAGTAGCCAGAGCCATGCTATCGATATTGCTTCCAAACTACTGAATTACTGTTAGCACTACACAGAGAGAAACATTAAGGCAATCATGCTGTAAAAGCAGGTTGGATACTGTTATTATGTTTTCATGTATGTTTATCTGAGAAAGAATCAGAAAGTATAGTGACAAAACAGAGTAGAGCACTATTGCCATTGCTGATAGCTACAGTAGTTGGTATACTTTGGATACTTTATATACACATAAACATAATATTTATCTTAATACGGTATGAACCAAATCTTAACCCCATCAGATCCAGCACACGAGTAGAATATAAAGCCTTAACAGATATTCTAATAGAGCACAACAGTGAGCACCCACTTTTTTATGGCCTATAATGGCTTTTGTAGTTTGTCCATCTGGAATTTGGCAATTAAATAATATTTCTACAGAAGCATGTATCATCAGTTAACAATCTCAAAGGTGTGAAAGGTTTATAGATAATCGTTCATGAAAACTAAGGGTTTTTTAAACTTATGGATCCCAACTGTTGCTCCATATAAATTTATTGTAATTCACAATATTATTAAGATGGGGTTAGGTTTTGATTCAGCATTAGCTTATATCATGTACCACACAGATGCATGCTTAAATGCTTTCATACAAACATACAATCATAATAATAAAATATTTATGATCACACTGATCCCTGACTGGTCTAACACCAGGCTGGGAAATAGCAGTGTTGATAACTGGCGGATCTAATTGATTAGAAAAAATTGAGATTTAAACTTAAACTTGAGTTTAAGTTGATACTGGGTTTGAATTTAGAGCAATAAGTGTTTTGCCATGATGGTTCTATGAATCTACAGATTTGTGAGAGACATAGAAAAGTAGAGTTCAGGTAGATGGGGCTAAACTTTACCATCAGCCTGCTCCTGGGAAACTGCGCTATCATCTGCAAAACATCTTGTGCCTGAAATGTTACCATAGTCAAATATCGGCCCTTCCAGCAATGTCACAATATCCAACCGATTGATCTTATTCAGGACTGCAGTTAAGGCATCCGCTAAAATTAAAAAAGAAAAGATTTTCATGGTTGCACATATTAGCTGAACAATAAATTATGCCTTTAAATTATAAATAACATTATTTATCTAATAATGGCTGAGAATATGATTTGGATACAGAAGTCTGTCCCAGCCCAAACCCCACCCACCTACCTACCTCCTCTCCATATGATTTACCCTTATTCAGAAAATATGTAGTCCGTAGGCACACTTACTCGTAGCGTTTTTACCATCTCGGCTAACCCATTTCTTTAAAAGCATGAAACTCTGAGCTGTCAGTGAGTTTGGGTTTTCCACACGGATTTGATTTATCTCATCAACCGAAAATTCCATTTCCCTGGCCAGCTCTGCAACACATTAAAAATAGATTAACAAGTCTTCTGTCTTTACCACTTCCCCGTACACATGTGCGCAGTACTGCAGTGACTGCAGATGGCACACCCTACTGATCACAGCAGCACTGATGCTTTGAGAAACAACAACAAATAAGGTGAAGCCATACGTGCACAACAATAGTAACACTAAAAAGTAGCATTTAGGGGTAAAAATGTGACATTATTTTCACAGATTACATTACATACATAATTACAGCGATATAAACATATGGGGTATATTTGTGCTACGGTGTAATGCAACACTTTGTCCTCTAGGCAGTGTCATTTCTTACCAGTCCAACTCAGGCCAAGATGATCCGCCACAATAGCCATACGTACATCTGTTCTTTCACAGGGGCTCTGAGGGCCTGAGAGCAGAGGATGGAAAGTCATGAAACTCTTAAAAACATAATATTTAGAGAAGTTAGTAAAGTAATAAATAATAATAATACCCTAATAATAAATAAAAACTACCATTTTCTGATCAAGTAAAGATAATTAAAGGATTGGGGGAGATTTTTTTATTTCATACTTTTGCCACAACAAAGTGTGTCCATATCCAAATAATAGGTTAGGAGACATTGATCAGAAAAGAGTTGCAAAAATATTTTGATATAGTCAATTAACTTGGTTTTAAGAGGTTAGATTTGTGAAGAATGCATATAACCAATCTAATTGGAAATGTTTAAAACCTGACAGTATAATCTTACCAGAAACACACATATAAATCACAAAAAAGACACGATTCAAATGTCTCTACAGCTACAGCAGAGGGTCAAATGTGAAATTCACAGTATCAAATGAAACTGAACATGCGGCATCTTGGTGCTGTGCTAGGACTGTGTGTTTGTGTGGGCTCACGAGATCTACAGGCTTCCTTAGCACCTTACAAGAACTAGGAACCAATAAAAATGGCCAGCAACCCACTCACACTGGCATGCTACAGTAAAACTGTCTATCCATAGAAAGAGATCTGAAAACAGGTTTAGAGACCAGTACACAAAGAGAGAAAATGACAAATGACAGATGACATCTACAGTCAGGTCACACCACAGGCAATCACAACGGCTCATGCAACTAAGATCATACAAGTGGAAAGTTTTACAAACTAGGCTTGATCTCCACGCCGGGGGCCACTTGAGGCCCAGCACCCTGACTGCCTTCACCTCCATCAGTCCTCCTACTCCACCTCCTCCTGTCTCTGCCGGACTGCTCAACCTGTGATCTCACGTCTCTAGCAGACCTGGATGTACTGGAGGGTTGCGACGCTTCTGATAAAGATGTGTTCCTTGATGTGCTGCTTTCTTCATCCTTATCATATGCCTGCATCTTTTTCTCTTCACTGGAAAGGCAGTCCACAAGCTTTACTGCCCTACTAGGTTCTGAACTACTAGAACTTTTGCCAACCTCACATAGGGGCTCCTGAACACATTTACTGCCTGATCTACTCACTGGACCAGTTTTTGATCTTTTGTTGGTGGTTATCATTTTGGTTGGCTGTGCTTTACCTTTCTGTTTGGCTATTGTGGTGGTCCTACATTTCCCCACTGGTGAGGAACTAACATTTTTGACCTTCATCATTGGGATTCTAGATTTAGGCTTCACATCTGGGAATGGATCTAATCGATTGTTGGCTACTAGTCTAATCTTTTGAATTGGTCTCGAAGATGTTAGATCTTTTTTACACCCCAGTGGTGGATGAGGTGCTCTCACTGGCAACCTAGACTTCGGTGGCTTTCTTGTAATGTCTTTGCATTTGGATATTACATCAATTTTCTCTGTACTGCCATCCCTGAAAGTACCAGTGTCCTTTCTGACTGAATCTTCACCTGGGTTTATTACTTGAACTGAGCAAAGATCAGACATTAACAGCTGTTTGGTTTGTATGCCGCTTTGTAGCAAGCAATGTGTTCCAGCATTTAAGGCCTCAAGATTAGCATTATTACTGCAATTTCTGGAATTATTGGAAGTTGTCTGGAGGCATGTTTGTGGCTCTGTCCTCAATGAGTCTGTCCGTTTATTGTATTTGCTTGTTCTATAGGTTTCTGGTCCTACTTGATGTGTAGTCTCTGGTGTTTGACCTTGAGAACTATCCGAGTCTACACAAACAAAATCTCTCCTCTCAATGTTGGAAGATTTGAGTCCTATTTTAAAAGAAGAACATAAAGAACTGACTTCTGAATAGGGGGGAGGCTCCATGTCATGAGATGTGTCAGAGTGGTCAGTGCATATCTGAATGATATTGTATGATATAACCGTGTTGTCCTCCATCTTAACTTGAGCTCTCTCAACTATCTGTGGATTTGAGGTGACTACATTTGGTTTTCTGACCCCATCCCCTATCCTCCCTCCAAATGTATGCTCACCGATCTGAAAAAATTGCAGCCTCTCTTCAACAAAATCCCGCTTGCTCATGTCAATCGCACCACTGCGGGTCATCTCAAACATCTTCCCTTCGTGGAAAGGGAAAGGGTTTGGCTCGCTAGTTGGTGTGCTTTCATCGGTTGGGGTTCTTGCAGGAGTTGTGTCAGGGGTTGTTGCTGTAGACTTGTCATCTACTGCTAGCCCAAACGGCTTGGGCTCATCATCTTTAATTCTAGCGTCCACTACTTCATCTTCTCCTCCCTTGCTTGACCAAGGATCAAAGCCTTTTGTTGCAACAGTTTTGAAAGGAGTATTAAACTCCTCATCTAGCTTGTAACTAAAGTAAGTGTCTGACAATCCTTGATCAGACTGTTTTCCATCCTTTTCACTGTCCTTGCCATTCTTTTTGTTTGAGGGATCAGTCTTAGCTTTGGTCTTTTTGCAATCCTCAGCAGGTGATTCTTCATGAATTACTTCAAGTTTACTTTGGCAACGGTCACTTAGACTAGACATATTATCTGATGCCCAAAGATCCTTTCTGTTTTCATTGGGAAATCCAAATGGTTTGGCAGTAGGTTCACTTAAGCCATCATCCTCATCTTGAAGTTCATATCCATCCAGAGAGTCAATCTCAGTGGCATCAGTGTCATGAGAGAACTCTGCAGTTGTCGCTAATGAGCAATCTGTGATGGACTGATCATTGCCATTTTGTTCATAATCGTAATCTTCTGCTTTTCCATTACTATTTGCCTCTGGTTCTTTATCATTCCCATTCTTGTCATGCTTTTTTGATGGGCTTTTCTTCAAATCTTTGTCCTCATCAATCTTAAAGGTATATTTCTTTATTGGAATAGGTTTAAAGATAGATTCCTCCTCACTTGAATCACTATCATTAGCTCCTGGGGGCACAGGAGATGGAGGCTGGACTCTTATTATAGGCTCGGCAAGAAGATGTTTATCATGCTCCTCTTGGAGATTTACTTCCATCATTTCAGTCTCAGCCTCTGAGGAAGGAGTCGACCCTTTTTTCTCAGGCTGTGAGGAATCAGAATCCAAGGGTGGTGGAGGAGGGAACTCTATATATGCAACTCTTTTGTCTCTTGTCTCCTGGCCAGTTTTGTGTTCACCATTGGCTCCTTTTTCTGGTCCAGATTCTTTCAAAGGAATAGCTTTGCCTTGTTCACTATCTTCTGACTCCTCTGAAACCTCAGCTATTGGGCTTGCAATACCTGGCATAAATGCAATAAATGGATCAGGGGTTCTCGAGGTGAGATCATAGCTGACCTCTTCTGAGCTTGGTGTCTCTGGAGTCATAGGACTTTTGCCAGAGCTATCAATAAAAGAGAACTGTTCTAAAGTGTCATCATCTGGGCTGCCTTGAGGAGATGTGGGCTGTTTCTGTTTAACTGCATAAATTGTTCGACTTTCTGAGCTGGCCATCTTTTTGAATGTTCCATTGGTTCCTCCTCCTCCCATATCTTTGTCAGACTGTTTCCCCACTTGAACACTTACATAGACTGGTAAAGTTTTAAGCCCTTTGAAACTTTCTCTCGTTGTAACTGTGGATATTTTTTCGACTGAACTAGTGTCACTTAGACCACTTGTTGTTCTACTTTCAGCAGAGACTTCTTCAGAGTTCTTTGTTGCAGCTTCCTCTCTCTGTAACTCTGAACGGCCATGAACCCTTGGTTTGGTCAGGGTAGGTATGTGTGATGGGCTCTTTTCAGATAATTTAGTTAATGTGTCTTGATTTGCCTTCTTTGACTGATTATTGTCTGGGGAACCAGGTGATGTTCTCACAGGAATGTGAGATTCTGTTTTTTTCTTAAGGGTCTTTATCTGAAAGTCATTCCTATTGATATTATCCTTAGACGAGGAAGCTGTTTTAACTGTCTCATTTTTAATGTCACCTTTTAAATACTGTTGCTCTTTAATATCATTAATTGCACTATTCCTGTCTGCAATATTTCCATCTTTCAAATTTTGAGAGTGAACTTTAGTAGAGCTCTCTTGCGTTTTATCAAACTCTTGATCTTTCATTTTCTCAAAAAGTGAGGCTCTTTTTACAACAGTATCTGATGTGCTAGATTTTTCAGGTAAACATTTTTCACCCAATTGCTTTGAGACAATAGTACTACTGCTACTGTGAGGGGTTACTCTACTTTTATCAGTTTCTGTTAGTTTTCTAGGAGGTGGGTATCCTTCATCTGTGGAATCAGCTTTTGAGGGTTTGGAACCAGCGAAAATCTGATATACTGGTAATTTACTTTCTGGTAGTTTTTTAACTGGTTGTTTTGACTGTGTTAGAGGCACATTCTGATCCTGTTTCTGCGCTTCTATTTCAAACTTTTGTCGAACAGAACTCACTCTAGAAGTCTTAACTGGGACTGGGGGGCCTGCATCACCTGTCTCTGCCTGCTTATGATCTTGGTGCTGTTTTGGCTTGTCCTCACAGAACTGTGACAGCACATGCCTCTCGGGACTGTTTGGCAGACTTGCACTTTTCCTTTCGTTTGTACTGCCAAACATCTTCTGTCTGCCTTTGTCCCATTCCTCAGCTGCACTCTTTTGCTTTTTCTCAGGGCTGCTGCACGTTGAGCTTGGCCCTGACCATGTCTCTCGTGATAATCTTGCTGGTTTCTTTTTCTCAGGGGACTTGAGCTCATCATTTAACTTTTCAGTTTTGTCCCTAAAAAACTGTGAAACCTCCCTCAGTTTCTCCTCTGCCTCTTTAATGGTCCGATCTACTCTATCTTCATATATGAGTTTCTCTCTATTCCTGTCCTGCCTATCCTGGGTGAATCTCATCCAGACTGCATGTTTAGGGCTACCGGGTTCTGTGGTATAATGTAATACTGTAACTTTGTCATATTGCTCATCTTGTGGGGGATATTTACCTGATTTGTCTGATGCATCCCTTGCTGACTTTAATTTGGACTCCTTCCTGGGGCCAGCTACTGTTTCTCCATATATGTCCTCAGTATCAGAATGTGATATGTCTAATTTTTCTGAGAGCAACATTTTCTCAGCAAACCTGTATGACTCCCCTCTCAACTCAGATAATTCGTCATCATGATACTCTATAGAATGCTGGCTTAGAAGTTTTAAAGCTTTATATGACTCATCTGCAGTAAGCTGAGCTGAACTGGGACGAGACTCTTCCTCTTGAGAAATAGGTGTATTGACTCTGGATGTGTCTAAGAAGAATGGCAGTGATTCCTCAGTAGTAAGTTCCTCCTCATCTTGAAGAACCTCATAATCACCATCAACACTTTCAACGAGTTCCGTGAGACCTCGGTCACTCTTGCATGTAAACTCTGGATGCCTTTTAGTCTCTCTGATTATAACTTCTGTCGGGTCAGTTGTGTTGCCCTTTTCTATGTGCACCTCAATAATTCTTTCAACTTGGGTTTTTTTGTCCTTTTCGAGGAACCGTGGGGACAATTCATCACCTTTAATGGCATCTTGGCTAGCTTTGTGCTCAAATAAACCGGCTAATTCTTTGGAAGGGTCTCTTCCAGACTGAAAAGCTTTCATTATGTCTCGGACTGACATTGCTTCTTCAATCCTGTCAGAGCCAGAATCTTTCAGTTGAGGTTTGTGGTAGACCATTCGAGTTGTAGTGGTGATATGAGTTTCTTCTTTGACGCATGCCAGTTCCTCAGAGCTGACTTTCATCTGCAAGGCCTTTACCTTATCTTTGATCGAGCTAACTGCTGGCTCAGGCTCAACCGGAGGCTTCAAAGCTGCTGCCTCATCCATTAGTGGCACACAGACCTCCTCAGGATGTTCATAGCTCCTGATGACGTGAAGAACCTCAGTTCTGGTTTCTGTTATGACAGGGGGGATAGGCACATCTGTGAAGGGGGGTTTGGGCCCTGTGCTCTCTGCACTTTGAGGAGCTGATGGGGTCTTTTCACTTCTGGTTTCAAAACCACTATCTGAGAGGGGACTCTTATCTTGTTCATGGGAAAAGTCATCAGGAGATTCCAGGATAGCATCTGTGCCACTATAGGAGTCTGCTAATTTACTCAAGTCTTTCTCTGAGGGAGAGGTCCGCATACCTGTGGGTGGCATTTTGAGTTTGTGCTCCGGTTTCATGGTACGCTTCTGTTTTTCCTCCCCTTCCTTCTTTATTTCATCATATCTGCTCTTTACATCAGCTATTTTTGAAAGGGAACTGGCACCAAGATCATTCATTAAGTAATCAACCACTTTAGCTAAATTGAGATCTTTGTCAGGCACTGACTGTGGTCCAACAGGAAAGGTTGGTTCAAATGTTGACATGGAACGCAGGGCACTCTGTCGTGCCTCCTCAATTTCATCTTTGGAGAACTCTTCCCATTCATCCTCTGAGGCCCTGTCTTTACTTGAGCTTTTGGCCTCACTCAGGACATCTTTTTTGAGAATTGCATTAACTTTGACAAGGTCCTCTTTAACTTTCTCAACCAATCTGAAGGGCTCTTCATCCTCCATTTTGGACTCTTTAGAAACATGTGAGTGAAAGCTTTTGGCTACGGTCGAGGAGTCAGTTTGTAAGATTGCAGTCATTCTTATCAAATCTTCCTTCATATCTGCCACGTCCTTAAGAATCGCTTGACTGGATGTCAATGTGGGTGAGGCAGCTGCTTTGAGGACTGTCGGGGAAATAAAAAGTGAGGGCTTTGAGGGTTTAATTCGTGATGTAGAAGAATGTGTTTGGGTGTGTGGCTGAGGTGTGATTGTTATTTTTTCTGGGAGTTTCTTCCCCTGGGGTTCAGGGAGCACATTGACCACGGAGAATACTGGAACAGACATGGAAATGGACGATATTGATGTGGTGGTAGTGGCTGGTGATCTAAGGGTATCGTAAACAGAACTTGATAAATTTGATCTTAAAGGTGAAGATACAGATTTTAGCGCACTATAGTTTGACGTTGAGCCAGCAGTAAGTGATTTCTCAGCCTCACTGAAGGCTGCACCAACACTGGCCGTAGCTGCTTGCGTTGTGGCCTGTATCCGTTCTTGTAAGCTGTAAGCCCCTCCTGTAAACAAACGGGAAGATGCAGAGGGGTATTTTATTGGTGAAATGGATCCGTTTAACAGGACTGTTTCAGTACTGGATATTGTAGGCTTAGCTGATGAAGAAAGCGATGACAGAATTGTACCCCTAGCTGTATCTGTGGTCGTTTTAATAGAGGACAAGTTTGTAATATTTCGAATTGGAGAGGACACTGCTATACTTGTGGGGGCCACGGTGGATTTGAATGATAAAGATGTGTATGTATTTGTGGTTGACTTTATAGAATCAGCTTGCTTCACTGTGGTGAAAGTTCTGTCTAGGATGGATCCAGGTGATGAAGTCAAGTTAGCTCTTGAGGACAATGAAGCAGCGAGCCCCTTAATGGACACCGGATCTGTGCCAATTTTACCTGGCGAAGACAGGAGACTGGAGGAAATTTGAACTTGGTTTTGGGGTTGTTTAACCACAGTCTTTATTGGAGATGACATAGATCTGTATGTTCTAATGGGTGATGCTATATCGCTAACTGATTTTGCAGGAGAAGCATTCGATGTTCCTAGGGTGGACTTGATTGGAGATGCAGAGGAAATGGACCACACAGACTTTAGTGGCGAAGCAGATGGCGTGTTGGAAGGTGAACTGGAGAGGGAAACCAGTCCACATTTTGTTTGCCCAGGGACGGTAATAGGAGCAGTCGACCATGCCTGGTAAGATCTTGTTGAAAAGACAGGTTTGTGAGCGTAACCAGCAGGCAGTGTTCTTGTTGTACTTCGTTCGACTGTTTCTTTAAACAGACAAATGAAAATCCAAACATAAAGTCAACAAAAAATGGTGGAGAAACAGAGAGACCAGAAGGAAAAAATTGGTCAGTGGTGATTGTCTTATAAGAAGTAGAGCAGCAGTTTTATGATGTGAAATGGAACTGAAGATGAGGATGATGCCAAAATAAAGATGATCCAAAGAGACTCAAAGGGTTCACAAAACAAAAATTAACAAAGAAAAGTATGACAAAAATGATGAACCACAAAACGTAAAATGGCAAGACAAATGCACAGGACCAGAGTAAAACAATTTCACTTTTGACTTTTGATGTGCTACATTTTCCTGTGACTGACTACCTTCATTTGCTACAGTGCCTTTTATCTGTTTGGTTTAGAAAAAAAAAAAAAACAGATCCTTCCCCAATTTGTGTATTTTGACAAAAACAGAAGACTCCAAAACAAAAAGCATCCTTGTTCCTATGCTACAGCAAATCATATTATGACAAATGCAGGCTAAATAACTACAATTTAATTAATTGTCGCTCACATCATGCAGATCTGAGTAACCTTAGTGACAGGCAATTCAGTGCAAACTGTGAAAGCACCCGAGAGAATCTACCTGTGAGTCTTCATGCATTTCCGTCAAAAATGCATTAAATAATTATACACAATCACAAAGCCAAAAGGAGCAAGACTGGTTGTAAACAGGAATTAAACAAAGGAAATGATTTTTTTACTTTGATGCCATAGTGCGTAAAGTTTGCATCAATAAGTCACTCAAAGTAAAATGTTATGAATGTTACAAAATATTATTCTTGCTAGTGTGGGTAAAAATGAACAAATAGGGTAAACAATATCCCATAAGCACAGGGCAAGCACGGCACACCAACCGAAATACCAAATTTCACATGCAAAGTAAACTTTAAAAAACATAAACAGAAAACAAGCATGTGGACTCTGTTCATGTATGGTAAAAAATGTGCAGATAAAACAATGTTTATGCCAGTTAATATATCATAGATGGTCACAGTAAGTCACATGTTAGCTTTAATCACTCTCAAGAATTTGGTTCTCAATATAAGTTCATACATTAGTGAAAACATCACACTCACTCATTCCAGGCTCGGTCAGATAGCTGTAGCGCTTACGTAAGGCTAGCGATGTAAAGGTATGACGTCGTTCTGGCTTTTCAGTCTGTAACAACAACAAAAAGAATCCTATCAGTTCTCCCATTATCAACCCTGCTTAAAGTTCAGCTAACTCCCTTACTGTTCCTTTCTTTTTGAAAAAGCTTTATGACTATAATGAAGGAACACTGATTTGGAAGGTTTTTATCATTTTCTTTATATTACTGTACTCTTTAAACTGAGTTGGCCTATATAGTCTCTATTCACATCAATAGCATTAGCAATGTAGCATTAGCGCTACAGCTAATGCTACATTGATTTCCTTTAACTCATTCTAAAGGCCATGAAACAAAAACAATAACTACGATTGACTGGGTCAGTGAGATCATAGGTTCCGATGTCCAGTACTTTGATACGCAACATAAACATATAATTTTTTGTCCTATAAATTCAATTTTAATATGCTTTGATATGACCCACTTAAGTCTTTCCAGTCTAGGCAACAGTCCTTGATGCATGGATGAGTAAACAAAAATCAGCTTGCAGAAAGTTGCAGCAGCATGCAGTATATGTATGTGTACTCAAGTTAAAGCCGTCTTAAACGAACAAATAACCCAGAGCTAAAGCAACTAGCACACCACATGAAAATGAGGGGACAGCACTATTACCTCTTCCTCAGGATCTGAATCCACATCCTTTTGGTTCCCAAGATGCATTGCAGAAACAGAGGGGATAACGTAATGAAGAGCAGGGGGAAAGAAACATCAGGATGTGAAAAAGGCATTAAAGGAACATAAAGGGGTAAAAAATAAAAGAAAAATAAAGCACAGAGCCGCAACCACAGAAGCTGTTGAAAAAAGCACAAGCCTGTGCACCTTCAGCCAAAGCAAGATCCAAATCAAAAGTGTGATTTGGGTCAGCCACAACAACAACAACAACTTGAAAGAAGCTTGAAACAGATAAAAGACACACTCAGGCAGTTTGAGCCAAGTCTGACCCTTCATGACTAGGAACACTGCTCTATCTTTCCTGAGTATGAAGATGGCATGATATGACGCAGATGATCATAGTTCAGCCTTACCTTCTTGAGTCCTGGCAGTGTGATGTTTAAATTACAGATAGCAGTCTGAGTGAGACCCTTGGAAGTTTTGGGCTCTCTGAGGAAGGACAGGCGGCCACATGGCTCTTGGCTGCTGTCTCTGACCTGCAGATGACAAACAAATGTTACTGGTAACAATTTAGTCTTTAGGTCTGACTTGCCCAGAATTTGCTGGATCATAGCTTGTAGAAAACGATAGAGCAGCCCATCTGATTTAAATAAGTTTCAGTTAGAAAATACACAAGAACATGTGAAGAGCTACATTACCTTCTGATATCTCAGGGTCTAACAGAAAGTTATGCTGATTTTAATAACAAAACAATATGGCAGGCAGAATGTATTACTAATGTGTCATGAAAATGTGGAAATCGTTGAAGGAAAAAAATGATCTACCTTCACACAGAATGGGAGTCTGTTTTCTTTGAAAGCATAGAAGTTAAAAACCAGCTGCTGTCCGGTTTTGGTAAGAGGGGCCAAATTGCCATAGCAGTCCACATAGATGGGCTTCCCCTCCAGCACCTTTAAAACAGCCAGCCGTGTCATGCAAACCACATTTTATAAAAATGATAATGTGCACAAATCCCAGTAATATCTCATAAAATAAATAATTAGCATGGAATGTTATACAGTACATCAGAATCTAGTGATAATAGCAACATTTAAAAAAAATTAAATAACTAAAACGGATAATGCACCTCAATGTCTTTGCTTCTGGCCACCTCCTCAAAGTTCTCCTGCTGTTCCAGGGTTTTGTCCACTTTATCGTCTGTCATACAGAAGCACCGCAGGCTGGACTCCACAGGGTCATTCATTTTAGCAAACACTACAAACTTGGCCATGTAGGGCACACAGATGAGCTCCCTGTAGAGCTGGGTGGCCAAACCTACAGTCTCTGGGATCTGATGGCAGTCTGCAAGCCAAAACCTAGCCACAAATTTAACAGTCACAAAGCTGAAAATGTGCGATTTTGATAATACACCTTAATATTTTCTAGAATTAGATCTGAGATATTGAAAATTGATTAAAACAGGTAAGAGGACTTTATGAGGAAAGGTCATAAGTTGTTCTTTTACCTGGCAGACACGTTTGTGGTGAAGGACACACAGTCATTCAAAAAAGTGAGAGGTGTAGTGCCAGTGATGTCCTCCCACTGAGCCAGTGATGTGCCACCTGTCACAAGATGCTTTATTAAAATGATTTTTACATTTTCTGAAAAAAAAAAAATGTGACTGCTCATGCAGTCTAAAATTCACCTCCTCAACGAGATAAATAGAGATGCACTGGTCGACAGGCCATCAATGTGTTTTGCGCAGGTATGTTTCTCGTACCATAATTTCACAAAGCTAAATTCAGACCATTTAGTTTTTCTTTTAAATCTACTATAATTGCAGTATGACGATTACTCTAGGGCCGGATTATCCAATGGGCATTATGGCACACTTCATGGCCCATGCACACTTGGGGCCCAAGCGAGAGGAAGACATTTTTTTTTTCAAAGTGTCTTAAACTAAGTGCAAATGGCACGCTTGTTGGCAAACGCTATTTACATTAGCTTCGCCCACCAATGTCTGGTACACTATAAGTATAAAGTTTTAAGAATTGTTCTAAATTCTATGAGAGATGTCCAAACTATAACCATAATGACAACAACATAGAGGAACAATATTGTTGGAATCACTTTCAGAACATTTTTTCCAGCTGATGAATGATAAAAATCAATTCACTTTAAAAAGCTTGAGCATTAACAGTGGTGGACGACATAACTGCAGCACGTGCTAAATAGATATACAGAGCGTTATATTGTGTTGGTGTGGACGCTAACAGTTATCTTTATAGTTATCGTTCTAGGCGTGAGCAACCTTTTGACTAACCCTAATTAGTCTATTTATGAAAAAACAGTAGGGATGATTGCAAACACCACTATAGTGAAACAGGAGCTTGATAAACTGTTAAAAAGATTCTATATTTCATTAGATTTTATCACGTCGTTAATGATGTCTACAAGTCAATCCTACCAGTTATACTGCAGAGCAGGCGCAGGCTTGGTGTTGGGTCTCCTTTGTAGCCATTCACCACACCCTCTCCAGAGAGCGGAGGCACGGGCATGGTCATGGTAATGGGCTTATGGAACTTCCTCCTGCGAGGCTCCACTGTCACTATAGGGCTGAAGGTGGCACGATTTCCTATGATCTTCTTCACAGGTTCATCCGGAACAGGCTGGGCCTGTTAAGAGAAAGCAAGAACATTTAAGTGAAACATCTACACAAAGAGCTTCATTAAAGCATCAGCAAATGGGAAAATCATGTCTGCTTTCCAAATAATCCCTAATATATCCTGGCCTAAACTCACACCACTGGTCGAGGTAGTGTTGTTAAGATTCAGAGTCAGAGTGTTAAGACCCGTTCACACCAAGAACGATAACTATAAAGATAACTATATTAGCGTCCACACCAGCGGACGATATCTTCTGTTTATTCTAAGTGCACGCTTGTCAGCCGCTTTAAATTCTCGGGGCTCATTATAGCAGGATTGATTCTGATTGGGCGTCAAATGTTTTTATCCTTCATCAGCTGGAAAAAAGTGAAAGTGATTCCAACGATATAGTTTCTCTATCGTTATAGCTGTGGTGTGGACTCTGCTATTCTTTAATATTGAGAATAATTTTTAGAACTATATCTTTATTGTTATCTTTATAGTTACCATCCTTGGTGTGAACAGGCCTATAGACTTTTCAAAGGAATCAACCTACACTCTTAAAAAATGAAGGTTCCAAAAGGGGCTTTTCACAGCGATGCCTTAGAAGAAACATTTTTGGTTCCCCAAAGATACTTTCAGTAAATAGTTCATTATTTTTAAGAGTGTAGTCTTTAAATATTAAGCTAGGAGATAAGAGAAAGTATTTCCATATTGTGAAAATAATCACACGTACACAAAAAATGAAAATTTGAAATTAGTTGGACTGTTATCTACCTGCAATCCAACTCTGATCTTCTTAGTGAGAGCACCCTCAGGGAAGGAGGCCTGGACCAGAGGTACTGTCATGCTGGACAGGACCCCTCCATCTGGACCCATCTGATTACTCTCCTGCTTGATCCGTGATACCACCGCAAAGTATTGTGGGAAGTCCTTTGTGATGATCCGGCAGATACGCTTCTTCTCCAGATCTGCTGTGCTGTCAAGCTCTGTTGAGTACACATGTATAATGTGAGTTTGATTTCAGGAAGCATTTACATTACATAAAAGTATATTACAGGAGCAAACAATAGGTTTTTAAGTATCCGGAAGGAAATGTGAGTGGTGTTTGCCTATGCAAAAGTTGGCATCATGATGCTACGGTCTTGCAGTGGTGCTAAATCTGTTCCTATGTTGTTGTACTGACTGTGTACTCCCAAATGTTCATTAAATTTCAACACATTTGTGTATGTCACATGCTGTCTCTAAATTGTATTGTTTATAAATATGTGACCCTGGACCACAAAACCAATCATAAGGGTAAATATTTTGAAAATGTATCAATTTATCTGAAAGCTGAATAAATAAGCTTTCCATTGATGTATGGTTTATTAGGATAGGACAATATTTGGCAGAGATACAACTATTTGAAAATCTGGAATCTGAGGGTGCAAAAAAATCTAAATATTGAGAAAATCGCCTTTAAAGTTGTTCAAATGTTCTTAGTTCTTAGCCATGCATATTACTAATCAAAAATTAAGTTTGAATATATTTACAGTAGGAAATGTACAAAATATCTTCATGGAACATGATCTTTACTCTATGTCATAATGATTTTTGGCATAAAAGAAAAATCAATCATTTTGACCCATACAATGTATTTTTGGCTATTGCTACAAATATACCCCAGCGACTTGTTTTGTGCTCCAGGGTCACATATATAGGCATTATATCAGACATGGTCCATCCTGCATTTGACCAATGAAAAACTCACATCCGTTGAGCACTAGTCAACACTGATTGTGCACTAGAAAGGTCAGTAACAGTGCAGATTTGAATAATTATAATTTTACCTTCATCCAAGCCATTGAGCAGCTCATTGAGGTCTTCAGATTTGCAGTCATAATGATGCTCTTTCCAGGTCTCACCGTTTTCGCTCCTGAGCATAATGAGCTCTCGCTCTTTACCCCTCATGGACCCAAAATGAGGGATCTCCACAATCACAGGGCTGTGAAAACACATCGCAGGCCTTTATCAGTGGAACCTCTCAGACTAATAAACGCGAGACAACGAGACACACAAATGCTGATGATGACTTTAGTAAATGGCGATGATGAACATTCATGGAACATTAGTGCAAAAGAGGGGCACTTGGCAAATGCATCTGATATTAATACAGTTAAACACTACTGGTTTCTATTCTGAACCCAAGGGGACAGATGCAGAAATGATTTTTATCAATGTTTTAGTTTAGCATAACTTTTTTTTACCAAGCGTCACTGCTTCATGCTTTGAAATTAAATCTTTCAAACACCAAGTAAGTTGCAAAATAAAGATGCACAAAATCCTATTCTTAATCAGTAACTTTGTTCTTATTATCAGCAAAATATCTAACAAAATAAATTCACTTTCAGACAGCATAGCTTATAAAATATATTTAAAAACATTTTTGGGTGATATTTAAACTTAATTACGCCGTGACAGTTATGGTGAGGTAATATTAAAATAGATTCTAAAGAACAAGACCAGGCTTGATAAAAAAAAAAAGCCCTTTTGAAACAAGCAAAACACCTAAATAGAGCAACACCAATCCTAAAATTAAGCAAAACAATTGCCAGTGGGATAAAATAATTTAAGAATTCTTAAAACAAGCAGTATATCTAGCCACTGAAAATATGAATTGACCATAAAACTAATCAGAAATGCTTATAAAATGCATTAAGCAATCTTAGTGCAGCTTAAGAAATTAGACGTTTAGAAATTAACTTATGGTCTTATTTTAAACATTATATCTAATAATATAGTTATTTCACAGCGTCATTAAAGGGGTCATATGATGTTGCTAAAAAGAACATTATTTTGTGTATTTGGTGTAATGAAATGTGTTTATGCGGTTTAAGGTTAAAAACACACATTATTTTCCACATACTGTACATTAATGTTTCTCCTCTATGCCCCGCCTTTCTGAAACGCGTCGATTTTTACAAAGCTCATCGGTCTGAAAAGCAAGGTGTGCTCTGATTGGCCAGCTGTCCAGTGCGTTGTGATTGGCCGAATACCTCAAGCCTGTGACGGAAATGTTACGCCCCTACCATACTGTGATGCCCTGTCAGGCTGGAGCGACGAGACATAAACATTAAAACCCATTATAAACGAGGCATTTGTTGCATCCAGTGGGGACATAATTACGGATTATAATGACTTATACTGTCTTTTTATGCATTGTGTTGCATCGCGCCGCGTAAACATAAAACCATGTCTGCATTTGTGATCGGATAAATGACAAACAACAAGCACTACGTTCTACACTGCTCAAAATTCGTTCCCATGAAAGGGAACCACTGATTTCTAGTCTTGTCCTTTTTTGGAAGGCCTAACAAAGTAGTTTTGCTTTCACAACGAAACACAACATCACACACGGCGGGCTAGAGTGAACGGCGGCGGCCTAGAGTGAGCGGAGGGCTTGAGAACGGCGCAGCCGGCGGGCTTGCGGCAATCACATGTGACGACCCCGGGCAACTCCGCTTCGTCCACGGTGAAAGCCGATCCGGCGATCCACAGCGCGAAGTTGATGTATTTCCTCAGCGACCAGCACGGATCAGCTCCAGGCATGATGAAGTGGATATAGTCCTCTTTTGGAAGGCCAAACAAAGTAGTTTCGCTTTCACAACGAAACACAGCGTCTCCACGACATGGCGGCGGCGGCAACAACAATACTACAGCGAGAATAAAAGTTACACTTTCCTTCTTTTGTGTGAACATTTGGGCGGCGTTATGCAAATTTTCCCACATCGTGACGTTGACGTGGGGGCGTTAGAACGAGCCGTTTTAGGTAGGCGGGGTTGACTCTTAACTTTTATAAAGAATATCTCTTTGGATTTGAGACTTTAGTCTTTGCAACATTACAGATCTTCTTTATGCACCAAGAGCTTGTAACACTTCAAAGAGAAAGGGAAAATTGAAATCGCATCATATGACCCCTTTAATATTATTTGTGGCAAGAAATTTATGCTAGTTTCTTTTTTTTTTTGCATATTCCATTGGCAGGTTCTACTTTAGGAAACTCTTGCTATACTTTCTATTTAAGTGAGAGTTTTGCTTGTTTTAAGATGGGCATTTTCTGCAGTTTGGCGTAATTACTAATAAAGAATTTGTGAACAAAACTATTAAAAATGAAATGCGACCTGTTCTGGCCAGTATATTATAAGCCCCATTCTAATATGGAGCAATTGAATCAAATGGCTTATGTTACACAATGGATGAAAACAGTAACATCGGACAAACATGGAATCATGGAAAAAAAACATTTAATGTGTAGACAGAGAAGGTACCATGGAAAATTTAATGCCTGAAGGCCCCAGACATGGGGCACACAGACCCACTACAACTGAGAGTCAAACAGGGCACATTAGACACTAAACGGCCTTATCCAAATACAATATAAACTGCTCAAGAATATTCTGAGAGTGACCCTACCCTTAAATAAACACTGATACCTTCTCTACAACTAAAAGGTCAAATGAAACTCTCTTTTAGCGTAAAAACACAGGGCTAAGGTGGCAGCCATGACTGCAGACACTCATGCTCACCAAGCACTGCATATCCAGCCCAAACAGCCAGTTTGAGTCACTTTCAGCAATGTGTACTGAAAGCTAAAAGGAAAAGGTGTAGATGAACGTAAAGGAGGAGACAAAGGAAACAACAGCTATGGCGTCAATAAAAGTAGTAGTTGAAATCAACATGAAGTGCTGTGACTTCACTAAGCACACACTCCTACCCAGAAAATTTTGTTCCCCGTGGCCCGAGCTGCAGGATTCGGCTAATGTAGCTCTCGCCCTCGCTACGAGGAGGGAGTTTTCGAGGTAGATGGAGTTTACTGAATTATATCCATGCAGCATTTAGAGGAACAAAAAGGAGGAACAACTTGTCATTCCTGCAGGATGGGAGACTAGCCCTAGCGTTGTAATGTTTTAGTGAGCTATTGCTCACCTTGTTCCAAGTACAGCAGCTTGTTCCAAAACCTAGTGAGCTTTCTTGCATCTACTATGCATCCAAAATGACATGAGTGAGCTATTTGGAACATTCCTAGGCAACAACTCATACACACATAGCGCACAGGAGACTTGACTAACAATTGATTTGAGCAGGGTTTGCCATTAGCCTGCTGCAAATCTAACAGCGTAGTGCTCTAATAATCATTAAAAAATACATCAATACACAAATAATGGGTAAAACAGTACATTTTAATTAGTTTAGACTGTTTTTATTGATCCTTTCAGTACTGAATGAATTTTCTCTAGCTTTGTCCAATGTATTCTGGGATAGCATTCTTTATGAAGGACAGATTTTGGCCAAAATGAATGTAGCAATCTCAGAAGGCAGCAAACTTTTATTTTTTTCCCCTTTTTTTTATATATATTTTTTGGAACACGCAAAGGACACCTTAAGGCAAGACACTACAGGCAAAACCATTTTATTTTACTTTACTCTAATACATTTTTTTAATGCAGTGGTCAATTTTATGATTTTCATTCCAAAATATGTCTTCTTTCAGACTAATGCAAGGTAAAACACCCAAAATACACATTTAAGTGTTTATTTTAGTACACTTTATCCATTTGCATCTTTAGAATTAAACTACAACTCAAATGTTTTTTTTTCCTGATGCATTGAGCCAGAAATCTCCACTTCAGTAGCACTTACATACACCAAACTTTACAGTTTTAGTCCAATATTCTGACGGTTTTTACATATGGGTTCATTCACATATCTTTTGTCTTATTTATATAACATTTTATTTTAAAAATCTAAAATCCTGTCTGTAAAAATGCTTTAATATGTCAACAAAATTAAACAACAGTTGTGAACCTGGCTTTATCCAATGTTCAAATTTCTATTCTGGAAATGTATGCAAATGAATGACTAATTAGATAATGAATCATTTGCATATAAAAAAAAAATCTGAAAATGTAATCCAAAACAACTGTCTTAAAGGTATAGGTCACCCAAAAATGAAAATGAAAAAAAAAAAAAAAATGTTGTCATCATTTACTTGCCCTCAAGTTGTTCCAAACCTGTATGAGTTTGTTTCTTCTGCTAAGCACAAAAGAAAACCAGACAGTTGATGGCAGCCATTGACTTCAACTGTAAAAACACTACAGTATGGAAGTAAACGGCTACTGTCAACTGTTTGGTTACAAACATTATTTAAAATATCTTCTTTTGTGTTCAGCAGAAGAAAGAAACTCATACAGGTTTAAAAGAACTTGAGCACTGAGTAAATGATGACAAAAGATTTCAATTTTGGGTGAACTATCCCTTTAACGTACTGTGGTTAACCGACAGGGGAAAGTATGATGATATCTATTTAAAAATAAAAATGTTTACCCAATTCACCTGGGGTGCCTGGCCTTAAAATATGGTCTATGCAGGCAGCTCACCAAGTTCTAGAACAGAGCCAATATGTGTCATTTTAAAACACTTATTACTAAAATGATTGAGCTCTTTCAGCAGTCCTCAAGATATTTACTAGGGAACTTTGATGACCTGCAGGATCCCATTGTAGGAAATAGAGTTAAGGAAAGGGTAAAGTCAAGGTACTTTACTGTACATCGCTGAGTCAGTGTCATGTACCAGGGCACTGGCATGACAACAATGGTGGGCAAAGCTGCTCTTTGTCACTACTGAAACACTTCACCGACACACACTACCAAACACAGATGCTTTCCATGAACATGATAAGAAAAAATTGGAGTGAAATGGGCATGAAGGTAAAACCTACCCCAGAAACTGAGCCCCCGCTGGGCCCACCTCCACCAGCTGGCTCGCCAGCCCCTCTCCCTCCACCATGGGCGGCAGGGACGCCAGCTTGTGTCTCTTGACCAGACGGCAGGTGATACGTGTTGGCGCAGTGCACTTGCGGGGCGGGATGATGATGCGCATACCATTGTGGCGACTTCCTCGCATGGAACCGCCGCGGGCATCCACCATGAAGCTCACCAAAAACCTGCGGGAGGAAAATGATCCAATAAGAGACGATAAAGAGTGATTCTGCATCTTGCAGGCTCTCAGAGATGAGTTGTCCCCATGCTGTGATAAAAACACACTCACACTCAAACAAATTTCAGAGAGAAAATCAGAGAAGAAGTGATCTGGGATCATTCCATGCACCTGGTGAGAAGTTAGTGAGGTAGAGAATATTGGTTGGATAGTTAGACATTGTACTAACAAAGACGGTTACAATTAGTTTACAGTAAAGAATCAGAATTCAGTTAAACTGGTAAGGTGTCACAATGTAAATCTTTTATTATTAAGATCTATTTTCAGCAGTTTGTATTTGTATTGCTAAAACACTCATTGCTATGGAAATCACACATTTTTTTCCCATTTTAACATTATAGTATACAGTATATTATAATAAAATGAATTAAAAAACAATAAGCGACAATGATATACATGTGTACAGTAGGTCTTAGGGTTTCTTTGGCTTATGATGTTATCAAATAGTGATCTACACTGATTTATCGGCCTGGGCTGCTTTTCTCTAGAAGTTGAGTTGAGAACAGCAACAACACAAACACAGGGAGGAAAAACTGTGATCACGTGATCAACCATCACCTGTTGTTGTACTGAAGGAGTGAGGGAGAAATGCTGCAAAGAAACAAGTGTAAATATGGAATATGGAAAAAAAACATAAGCACTAACACAAAAGCATTTGTTTATTTTTGTCTCTATTATAATACATTGAAGAGAAGGAATGAATCTGGGAAAGAAAGAGAACCGAGTTCCAAAGTTCCATTTAAAACCGGTTCCAAATTTCAGAGAACTGTGTATTTGATTAGACAAGTAAATTTTGATTCCGCTTATCGATTCAAGTGCGATTTAATGTGATTTTAAACCATTGAAATGCAAGAAGAGAACTCAATTCGACACTTATGTGCTGTTATCCAAAGTGCGCTCACAAAAAGTCACCTCTCATACAGTGTGAGAATCCTGAATTGAGTTCTCTTTCGCATCTTCTTCCGCTTGAACAGACAAATACCCACAAATTTGTCAAAATATCCTCATGGGCACAGTTGGTTTTGTCTTAAGTGAATGTAAACAGTTGAGAAAGAAAAGGCATGTGTATTAGGTTTCAAAGTGACAGCAGCCTAATATTCCTGCTGCTGTCAGAAGGCCACAGAAAACACAGAATAAATATGTTTGATATCTAAATGTTTGACTTTTTTATACCTTATTGAAATAGAAACGGGAAATTCTTCATTCTTCAGTTTCACAAATTAGATATAATTTGCACTGAATTTTAAAGGCCCTGACACACTTAAGGTGAAATCAAAGAACAAACTGGTGTGATGCATTTTCGAACAAAATCAGGCCAAAAAAATGGAGTTCGTTTCACAAGCTCAAAACAGCTTGCCAAGGAAAACTTTTTGGAAAAGTTTGCTCAGGCTGGTAAACACCTTTGAACTAGCATTACATAATTATGTTTAGTCCGTCGAGATCAGATTGGAGAGCTTCTTTATTGTAGAAACTGAAGTTGTCATTCTAAATGAAACCAAAACTGACACCATTTTTCATGTTTAATTCTCTAAAACGGTTTGCTTTAAAGCAATCTATTGTTTAAATGGCTATATAAATAAACATTTAAATTGACTTGACTGGATTGCTGAATTTAGCTGGTGCAAACATTTCCACATCACTACGGTCAGATGCTTCAAACTTCTTTTTACCCCTAAGCAAAGAACCAAAAGCAACCTTGTATTATCAGGGCCTTAATACTTATGTTTAATGATTTGTTCAAATCACTAACCCTAAGTATAAGAATAGTAATGGCGATGTTGGCTTTACCCTGAATGGACTGGGCTGGAGACCAGGTTCACATTGTCCAGAGTGTCCGGCGTCCAGCTATAGCGTCTCATTGAGTCTGCGTTGTAATCTTTTGCTAAAGCCAGGTGCTGAAACACAAAACAAGCTTGTTCAGAACTGAACATACTACTCATATTTCCATTCACTGCGGTTCTGTGGTGAACCACGGTAAACGGCCTGTGCTTTCACAGTCCTCTCATATGAGACTGAGACTAACTGAGCAACTAACAGCTCAACCACACAATTATCCCCTCGTCTTGTGGTTGATGATGAGAATCACAATCAACAAAACAACATGCAGGAGAATTATTTCTAGGAGGTGGAAGATAATGGAAGAAACCCCCTGATGCAAGACCAAAACAGCCGAAACAATGTGAAAAGCTAAGCTATAAAAATTCAACAGATAGAGAAAGGAAAGAATCTGGCCTGAAGAGCAGAACATAAAAGAACAGCAAATGCATCTTGTGGAGCAAAGCTCATGTTTGCCTGCATTGGGTTGTGGATTGAGAAACAATGCAGAATTCCTCAATGCATTTTATACCTTATAATGAGTCTCAACAAGGGAGAGCATTTCTCTACAGACCCCCTGAAGCGTTTGAAGAGAAGAGACAGATTCTGAATCACTCCAAATGCACTGATCAACAGTGATAGGCTAAATGACTTCAAGATCCTTAACAATAAAGTGGATTTTTTTGACATATCTTTTACTGTCTGAATACAAATACAGTGCTGTAATAAAATAATTTTTGCAATCTCTGCATTTTTTTGGCCCACTGTTCAATTTTCTATTTGCATACTCATAGTAAGTATATTTCTGGCCTTTGATGTGCTTTGTACGTTTGGTTTAGTAACCTTCACAGAAATCTCCCATTGTTTGAATCTTGAACTCAAAATATACAGTGATTGGTTCTTATCAAACATCCGTGTTACCTCTTGAGAAAAATAAGTGATCTTAATTGTATTACATGTGCACTTGTCGCATACTTCATAACTTAAAAGTATAATTTTAAAAAGCTATACATGCAGATAATAAAATATTATTGAAATAAAAGGCCACTTGAGTGCACTTCAAGTACACAGTTCTGACTATACTTTAAAAAGTGCATTTGGTAACACTTTACTTAATGCCTTTATGTATAATTCATTATAAAAGTAGTATTAATTATGCCTTGTAATGCACCTTTGTACTATCTCATGAATAACTGTAACCACAGTTAATACATTATAACACTTATCAATCCATTGTTATACTATTTAAATTCGGTTATCATTATTTACGACAAGATATAATGTATTACAATGCACAGTATGAATAATTATAATGCATTATACCCTTTAATACACCCTTTATTGCCTCTGGCTTGCTTAGTTGGGGACACTTCATTTCCAGCGATACCGTTGACTTGATTGCAAAGATACTATTTAAACTGAGCTGGATGTTGACATCACTGAATTCAATGATGAACTGTCTTTAACTGAAAAATTAGTGTTTACTATTGTCATTTTGCATTATTGACACACTATTTTCCTAATTAATGCTGTTCGGTTGCTTTGACACAATCTGTATTGTTAAAAGCGCTATATAAATAAAGGTGACTTGACTTAACGACTTTATAATGCATTATACATAAAGGCTTTAAGTAAAGTGTTACCAATATTCTTTTGGCATGCTTTAAAGAAGTACACTTACTGTATTTCGATGTGTTGACTAACATACTAAAGTAACATGTAAAGTACTTGATTATAATTTCAACTGTGGTGTCTTATTTTTATTTGATATTCTTTTTTAAATGTATTAAATTGCAACTTCATTATTACAAATGTGTAATTACAAATATATTTAAATACATGACATACAACAGAAATGACATATTATATACAATTATATTTTATATGCCACAATTATATTTTAGTAACCATAAATGCGTGTCAGTACATTCAGCAGTATATTTCAAAGACAATAAAAGTAATTATGAAATTACATATAAAGACGTGCTTAAGTCCTACTTAAATGTATAAAAAAGCACAGTTCAGCTGTTAACTGCATTACATTTTATTTAATTGTAAATTAAGTGCAATTAAGTGTCCATAAATATTACATTCAGTTCAGACTTACAGTAAGTATATTCTTTTAAAGTACATAAATATAACACTAATCTAATATTTTGCTATATACAAAGATATTGAATAATTACTGTATTCACATTTCATGGTATTATGGTAATTCCCTACCACTGGTACTCTTTTTGTTAGTACAGAACTTGTATTTCTTTGTTGAAATAAGTATCTGGTTTAGAGTAAGGTATGCTGAGCATGATTTAAAATCCACATGATATAAAAGACTCAACAGACAGCAATAAGGCGACACAAAATCTAAAAACTCAAGGAGAAAGAGGGCGTACCGTGTCCTTAGTTGGCGCCAGGATCTCTTCGATCATCATGCTGTCACGGGTGAAGGAGCTCCGGTTGAGTGTATTGGACCTATCCGAACTGAAGGAGCGCAGGCTGTTGGCATTTACATTAATACCATACAGTGCGGGGGAGTGACAGTGAAATACACACAAAACACACACACACACACACACACACACACACACAAAACAAAAACATTTATTATTGCATGCAACTTCCAGGGAAATTGATGCACAATAGCCAAAACAAGGATCGAACCCACAAGACAGATATGTGTAGTGGTGTGATGGTTAGACATTGAGAGAATAGATGTCTAAAGAATAATTAACAGATGTGTAGCATCTTAAATGATACGCTGGTGAATATTTGTAATGACTGAATGAATGAGACACAAATGTGTGCCAGACTGTTTTTAAAAATATGCAATTGGTCCTTTGTTAAATGTTTCAATCCTACTCCTATGCTGCCACATAGTCACACATTATTAGACAAAATTTTGCACTTGTATAAAGTAAATCGAAGGAGCATCTGTGTGTTTGGGTAGTTTAAAATGGAGATTTACAGAAATGAACCAAAAATACCACATACCACTTATAATAGTTGGAGAAAATAAGCATGGTACTTTTTCACTACCCAAATCTTTAAATACATCTTGAGAAGTTCATGCTGTGGGTTAAACTGATCTCATTCCTAAATAAACATGCAGAACATCAGTAAGAACATCTGCATTTGCTTCAAATTAAATTCAATACTTCTAACCTAACATCATTTCATATATGCACTGATTTATGTCACTGTGGTGTCGATAGAAATGCACAGATTTTTAAAATTCTAGCCAATACAATAAGTTGATCATTTTAATAATAAGTCGATGACATTATGACTTGTATTATTAAAATTCTTTACTATTTTATGTAGAAAAAAATAAAACACTTTTTTTTTATATTTAAAGTGAATTTAGACATCAGCATTATAAAGTACGATAAAGATATAGATTTCCTAAAAGTGTTATTAATTAATTAAATTGAACTTAAAATAATTCAATTACAAGTGTTTTTAAAGATTAACTTTAACTTTAAACATTAGATGATGGCAAAAGAAATCTAAATGTAAAAATAAAGGTAAAAGAGCACAAATAAATATCGAAAAACATCCAAAATCAGACAATACTGATAAACTGAAAGATTATAATGCTATGCAACATTGCAATTCATTCCAGCATATTTTAATCCATCGCTTTTTTTACTGCTCTTTGAGCACATTTGACAAAAAAAAAAAACTCTGTTCATGGAAATCTACTATTCATATGGGGCATTCCTTAAAGGGTTAGTTCACCCCAAAATTTTAATTCTTTCATTAATTACTCACCCTCGTGTTGTTCGAAACCCGTAAGACCTTCGTTCATCTTCGGAACACAATTTAAGATATTTTTGATGAAATCTGAGGGCTCTTTGACCCTCCCATAGACAGCAAGGTAACTACCACGTTCAAGGTCCAGAAAAGTACCAAGATGATCGACAAAGTAGTCCGTGTGACATCAGTGGTTCAACTGTAAAGTTACGAAGCTACGAGAATACTTTTTTGCGCAAAGAAAACAAAAATAACGACTTTATTCCACATTTTCATCTCTACTGCATCACTTGTGGACGCGCGTTCACGACAGTATCATGACGCGAGTGTGTGGCGGCGCTGACCCAGATCCGCCGTGATGACGTCATGATAAAGTCATTATTTTTGTTTTCTTTGTGCAAAAAAGTATTCTCGTAGCTTCGTAACTTTACAGTTGAACCACTGATGTCACACGGACTACTTTGTCGATCATCTTGGTACTTTTCTGGACCTTGAACGTGGTAGTTACCTTGCTGTCTATGGGAGGGTCAGAGAGCCCTCAGATTTCATCAAAAATATCTTAAATTGTGTTCCGAAGATGAACGAAGGTCTTACAGGTTTCGAACAACACGAGGGTGAGTAATTAATGACAGAATTTTCATTTTTGGGTGAACTAACCCTTTAAAGCTGTTTAAGAGTAACTGTAAATAGTGTTTGTGAGTAACACTAAATAATGGAGCGGAGCTAGCAAATGGACAATTATATAAAATTAAATAAAACTACACCGAAGCTAAACCAGATCTGGAAGTTGTTTACTGTATCTTGACTCTAGCATTCATTTCTATTTGCAGTAAGGCTAGGTGCATTAATGCAGACTGAGCTAACATGCGCGTGCTATTTCCAACGGCTGTGCCCAATCAGAAAAAAATATGACGCGGGTTCTCAGTTCGCATTGCCTAGCTGCCAAAGGAGAATCTGTTTCTTGTGAGCATGTCACTGTGGTCTGTGAGTTTACTGATTTAAATGGATGAAATTTGATTCAGCTGATGAGGCTCTTCATGCATCCCTGGAAGCTACATTAAGAAACTATTTGGTACAGTAACTGGACTCAACGGGACAAAAACTTAAATGTTTACAGCAATCAAACCTGAAAAGAAAAAGAAAAACTTGACAAATCAGGTTCACACACCAAACTGTCAACACAAACCTAAAATCGAAATGAAACCATAGTCCACAGACAGAATGTGTATTCTTCATCAAATGAAAAACAATGTACAAAGCACAGTACACGACGATGATCCATGGTTTTAGAATGGGATAAGGGATGGGAAGGGTTGGAAGCATCATGCCCTCTTACCTGACTTTAGGACTATGGAATGGAAAAGGAAGAACAGAGGAAATTGAAGGCAGCAAATCAGAAATGCAGTGGTTGAATGAGACAGACTCTCATGTCTGGGGCTGCATTGTGCTGTACTTTCACACACACCAATTAACACATTTTTTTTTACTCTTTAATCCATTAGGATGTGATATTTGGCACATGTACAGAAAGGAAAACAGATAGGATTCCCTACACACTAAACAAGTGTGTATCATATAGTATGCCTATATCTCAATTCTCTGTATGACAACTGAACATCACTACATTTGTGCCTGAACATTCAACCTTTATGATCATAGTTATGTTTATGGTGCTGCTACATTTGTAAATCCTTGCAAAATTCCAGGTCCTGTGCCAGAATCCCATGACTCCCATGACATGAGTAAACGCAAAGTGCTGTATCTCATTTCACATCCAAAGAGAATGTTTCTTAAAGGAACAGACACAACGAATGTCCAGTTTATTTCATAAAGCATTTCTACAATAAAAAACTAAAATACGACTATATATATATATATATATATTATATATATTAGGGAAGGACAATATTGAAATTCTAGCCGATAGTAATAGGCTGATAATTTCTTCTTGTTATGGCCAATAAACAAATATAAATAAATAAATAAATAAATAAATAAATAAATTTATACTACTTTATCTTAAAAAAAAAAACAGAATATAAAACACTAAAAACAACAATAAATAATAATTTTCTAAATAAAAAAAAAACTATAAATAATAGGAAAAAATATAAAGAAAAGGATTAAAAATATTCCCATTTTGATTAATCAATGCACATGATTAATTAAATATGGGCATTTAATATTGGGCAATATCTATCCAATATTGGACGATGCTGATAAATGAAAAATAATGACAGATATCAGTCGAAAAACAATATGATGAATCCTAAAAAAATATGGTATGACCCCTTTAAAGAATAAACCAAAAAGGCAACATATCACATCCAAACCAAGCATTTCTAGCACATGATTCTCGTTTTCACTGAGACAATTTATTTTCAAAAGATAAAATGTGCTTTTCCACCAATAATGTGAAGTCATTCGATAAAAAAAGGGTCCTCTCAGTGTCAAATGCTGAGGGCTGTTATTGAACATGATTGTAATTTCCTAGTTTGTGGCTTGCGTGTACAATAGTTTGAAATCTCACTCAACCCTTTCGATTATTGAATGCTGTCAAACTTCTGTTTGTTGGAGGGAAAATCCCCTGAAGCGAGTTACATGTAGGTTAAACATTAGCTACGGCCTTCTCACTCAACAGCACAAGGTACTGAATCAAAAGATGACAGCAGGCGGCCAACACACAATGTAAATAAAGAGTGTACTTATAAATAAGACAGGAATCAGGAACTAACAGCTGGGTACTGCGGCCATGAATACTCTCCATTCAGAAACCAGATCATTTAGATGATAGTTATTGTGAGTTAATATTCTTCAAGACATCTAATTTTGTTTTACAGGGAAAAAACAGTCACATGGGTCAGGAACAACATGAGGACAAGCAAATGTTGGGTGAACTATCCCTTTAAATGGCTCTTCTCTTATCTTATGTGGTCTGTTAACCTGGTCCAACAGTCCAGATATTATAAAATGGTGTTGCCCAAATACATAATGTTTACTAATCCTGAACTATATTAGTAGGAAATTAGCACTGATGCCAATACAACTTACAGCATGATTCCTACAGATATTCTGATGTTAAGAGTATGGCTCAATTGTCATAACTTCATGACTCGTGGGGTTTGAACTTGAACTTGTGGGGATTCAAATGGATGGAAATTTTATATGCAATTCGAATACATAAATCCTTAAATATTTTTCAAGTTTAGTAGCACTTACAGCTTTCCATTGTGTACAGTATATCATGCTGACAACAGTAACAGATGAAGAGTAATTTTCATAATAATGTAGAAGTAGTAATGTTTAGATGTCACTTTCTGCATGTGGTGAGGGTAGATACCTGGCCGTACGGGCTCCAACACTGAATCCCACGTATCCTTCCTGAGGGAGGGAGTCGTCTCCAAGCTCTCGCAGGTCTTGCGGTCCCAGGTACTTGTCCGTGTCTCCTGTCATCGCATCCTCACCTGTCAGCAAAAGAAAGAATTACTACACCCTTCAGAGAGACACTGACCCTATAAAGTCAACATGAATGGCATTCAAAAACCCATCTTACTTCCATCATGTTTCCAATTTTTCTTTGAAAATGTGCACCGATGAATCATGGGGAATAAGACAAAGTAAATAGAGTACATTTTGATTTCATGTTGGCATTAAGAATGAATGGCTGGATCTGACCAAAATGCCCCCCACTGATCCCACAATCCCGCAACAGTCACTGGCACACTTCCCGAACTCTTTCATGGCTGCAGATTCATGCAGTTTTTGTTTAGATTATATTATTATAAGTCCAGAAATGTAAGCAAGGCACTTAGAGAACATCAAGACCATGTGTTGTAGCTCGCTCATGGTGAGCATAAATCTGTTTTTAATATGCATCTCTGACAAGAATGATTCAAACACTACAGCGGAGCAGCAGTGAAGTGGGTCACAGAAACAGAGAGAGGAAGACCAGAATGCAGATAGAGGAAGAGGAAGACTACAGTCACACTGCAAGAAAAAGCACCCAATTATGATTTTATGAATTTTGAGGAGGATTTTTACATGAACTACATGCTAATACTAATACTACTACTACTACTTAATAATATTTATGTTTCTGTATAATACTTACAATAAAAGTAATCGATTATTTTATGTAAAGGCATCTATAATACATAAAAAGACCATTTCAATACAATATGCAAATTACTGTAAGAAATATGACCAATAATAGTTCATGTCATCCCATTTTGTACATTGACAAAAATTTCACAAACAATTACAAAGAAACGGCCAGTAATGCATTGAATTAAAAGTGACATTTTGAAGTAGAAAAACTACTATTTTAAAATATTATTATTTTGCAAAGCCTAGGCCATTAATCTTGTTTTTTACAGTGTATACTGAATATAGCAAAAATGGCAAAACATTTAATTATACATTTCTTTTAAAAGTATACAGTTTAAAAAAATAGATAAAAAACAGTAAACACTGTAAAAAGTTGTAAAAGCAATCTCACCCATTAAAATTAGTTTTGTTTGTCTAAATCGATGTATATAGGTTGGTTCGGATAAATAATATTTCCGTTAAATAATATAAATAATATTTTTGACTTTAATAAAACCAGTTAATTTAGATGTTTTTGGTTACCATTTTTGTAATTTATAGCTAAAATTATCCACACACAAAAAAAAGTTGAATGTCTGTTTGTTCTTTTGAATGCTGAATGTCTGTTTGGGCTGAATTAAATTAATAAATTAAATATCTAAAGTAAAAGGTTTAGAACAAACCCTAGCCAGAATGTATTATCAGTTTTGAATCCGATTTATTTACACATTTGGAAGTGGCCCAGGATCAACATAATTTATTTTCTGTTCACATTGTCATTCACAAAACAGCTCTGTCACATCATGTTTACATAAAAATCATAATTGGGCCACATTCAACTATGCTGTGAATGCAGGTTAGGAGAGCGATTGGGGAGCACAGCATTCCAACATCGACACCCCCACCCCTCCACCCCACTGCTAATCACCCTGGCAACCACCTCCCCCCAAAATCAGCCCCATGGAAGTGCAACTTTCACTCTCTTTCATGCAAACACACACAATGATATTTACACAATTAAATTGTGAAATGTCCTAAAAATAAACTCAAATCTGTTCTGCCTCTTACAAAATAAAGCAATTCACCAGCACCCTGAACACTACCACAAGTTAACAGGAGGTCAGCAAAACATTTCTAACAAGTGATGAGTGAACACAGCACGCTTTTAGCAAGCTAATTATACATTTTACAGCATTAAAACTAACCCTTTAAAAAAAAACATTTACTTCTGGTGGCAGTTTTGTAAGTAAACTCAAACACACAGACACAGATATCATCTTTCTCACACTTCGGCTTCCCTACCACTTTCTAAAACTATCATGTTGTGTGTTTTTGGACAGTGTGATCAAATCAGAAATACCCATTCACGATGAACAAGATCTCTTACACTGAACAGTCAACTCCATCCTTCATCTTCACGCCAGCTTTAAAAATATTTACAGGTTCTCTTTGTCCTTTTTCACTCCCAGAAGCCACACTTCCTCAATCCGGTAAACTCCAAACAGCACGATTACTTCCACATGTCCACTACGGCCCTGTCCACAGTGTTTGAAACGATCCAGTTGCCTCTGTCTGTGCGCGTTCACACAGTCACACACACACCCACCCCTCTGTCGCGGCCTGACAGGACATTCAAACGGTGAGGGGCCGGCGCGAGTCTGATCCGTGTGAGGTCATCGCAGGAGCGAGGTAACACTTGAGGCAGTTTCAGAGGATCTCGGCATTCCTCA